GTAGATTTACACCCCGCATTGCCACAAACTAAGTGGCAATGTGGGGTTTACAGAAGTCCTTAGGCTATGTCTACACTACATACTATGAATCTCAGCTTGCATAGACATACCCATACTAGCTCTCATGTGAGCTAAAGTGCTAAAAATAGTAGTATGGCTGTGGTAGCATGGACAATGGAAGCCATGGTAGCAGGAGCTAGCCGCCCTGAGTATATACCCTCCTGAACCCCATGGGTAGGTACTCGGGGCAGCCAGTCCATTCCACTGCTGCCCAGGCTACCACAGCTACCCTATTTGTAGTGTTCTGGCTCAGATGAGAGCTATCATGAGTATGTCTACACAAGCTGGGAATCACACCACTAGCTCGTAGTATAGACATAGCCTTAGTGTGGACATGGGTCAAACCTGCAGTGATTCTTAAACTGATACAGCATGGCTAGTGAGGACACAGAGGCAGTTCAGTACAGTCAGTGTAATTACAACAGGTTCAGTTCCCTGAAGTAGACCTGGCCCTGCTCCAAGGACCTTCACATTCTTAAGGAATTGTTGAAAAATGAGCTTGGACAGACTCCAGTGCCGCCTTCCGTAGCTGGACTGGCTCTGCAAGGCTTACAGGAATAAAAAGCAATACAAACATATTGTCACCAAGGCTTTATCTACATTTGGGAAATTTCCCCCAAAATTCAATCTGGGTTTTAAAACCGATTGGAACTGCACTGGTTCCAGAAGGCAAGGCCATTTTTATAGCCTGCTTTCTGAGGGTTTCACTAATTTGAAGAATAATTCCACCTATGGTAGCCTCGTCTATGCTGCAGCTCCAGCCATTTTTGAAACAGTTTTAATATTCAGGTAGATTTCTCCACTGTAGACTAGTCTGAAATCCAGCAGATCTGACTTTAAATACACAGAAGGAAAGTTTGTGAAAGTAGAAATGTGCCATTTTTATAGAGGAACTTTTCTAACCAGAGCAGAATATTATTTATACTTATAGCACTTTCCATGCTGCAGTGAGATTTGTAAGGAATTTAAAATAAAAATGGGTTTTTTACTCTTTTAAGGTCTGAAGAAGCAGTTGGAAATCAAACCAACTTCTCTGGTGCTTGTTCTCTTGCAGGATGTGTCTGGTACGAATGAAACAGGAGGGTCGAGCTGGAAAATACATGTGTCGCTATATAGTTCATTCTATGTGGGAAGACGTTGAACAGCGTGGTAAGGTGATGGGGGTAAGTCATCTTTGTCTGGTGTTGACTTTCTTGATTATTTTGATGACACAAACCATTTAATGTCTTGTGACCTGGCACATATTAGAACAGTGGCTGTGAGATTAAGGTGGAGCAAGACTTGGTCTGACTGGTTTTAGCTGGGATTTCAGTATTCCGTGTACCCAGGACAGTGGATGGGAGCAGGGAGAGAGGACAGAGTTTCTATATAATGCTATAACTAACCACAAGTACAATCTACAGTTTGGACTCTCTGCATACTGGTCCTGATCTCAGAAGGGAGCTTATAAAGGAACAAAAGCTTCAAGGGCAGTTCAATCACAAGTTAAGGGCTTAATGCAGGAAGCACTGAGTGAGGTCTTTGGCCGGTACTATGCAGAAGGTCACCCAAGGTAATCACAATGGTCCCTTCTGGCCTTAAAGTTTTTGAATTAGAGTGTGCCACTCCATACCAGCATTGGCCTGCGCCTCAGAGAGTGCAATTCATGGGGCAGCAGCACTAGGAGATGACCTTCACAAACCTTGAAGTATAGTGACCTCTGCAGAGCCGATGGAAATGAATGTCCTCATCTTCACAGGACTCCAGTACTTCTGCAGGGCAACGGTTGGATGGGGAGGCAATGTTATTGTGACTTGTATTGGGAAAAGAGGGAACTGCGATTATGCTATTGTTGGGGGAAAAAAGGGATTGTTCAGGATTAAAGTAAAAAGAACAAATAGAAAACCCGGACGGGTTAATATACCAGTTGGCCTATATGGCCCCAGTTACTAAAGAAACAAGAGTCCAAGGCAGGGTCAGCTAGGGATCTGGTTCAAGTAACATTCAAAAGAGGGAATATTAACCATAGGTTAGAAGTAATCTTGTCTCCTTTCCCCCGCACTCCCTTTTGTTTCTAAATTGCACTAATTGTATTGTGAGCTCTTTGGGCAGCCCTCTCTTCTGTATGTGCAATGGGTCCACAACACTTGCAGGTACAGTAACTTCTCACTTAAAGTCGTCCTGGTTAACGTTGTTTCGTTGTTATGTTGCTGATCAATTAGGGAACATGCTCGTTTAAAGTTGTGCAATGCTCCCTTCTAACGTTGTTTGGCAGCCGCCTGCTTTGTCCACTGCTTGCAGGAAGAGCAGCCCATTGCAGCTAGCTGGTGGGGGCTTGGAACCAGGGTGGACCGGCAGCCCCCTATCAGCTCCCCGCTCCCCTAAGTTCCTTGTGCAGCAGCTGCCCAGCAGGCTAGCAATTGCAGCTGTCCCTCCCCTCACTGCCATGTGCTGCTCCTGCCCTCTGCCTTGGAGATGCTCCCAGAGACTCCTGCTTGCTGTGCAGGGGGGAGGAGAGGAAGAGGGGGGCAAATATCAGGGTGTCCCCCTCCCCCCCTGCTCCTGCACCCCGCTTACCCCATCTTCCATAGAGCAGGGGGGACACACGACAGGACTGAAGGAGTTTGCTGGCAGCAGCTGTGGTCTCAGCAAGCTGATCTAATTAACAAGGCAGTGTACTTAAAGGGGAAATGCGCATCTCTCTCTCTCACACACACGGTGTGTGTCTCTGTCTCTGTCTGTGATGCTCTCTCCCCTCCCTCCATTCCTGCTGCCTTGTAGAGTGAGAGAGTTAACCCTTGAGGGCTCAGCCAATTGCTAATTCATCATTTAGCAGTAAGGCATTCCCTGGGAAATATCCCACCCTCTAACTCCTCCACCTCAACCAAGCTTCACAATCATCATCACTGTGTACCAGTATTAAATTGTTTGTTTAAAACTTGTACTGTGTGTGTGTGTGTGTGTGTGTGTGTGTGTGTGTATATATATATATATATATATATATATATATATATATATATATATATATAGTCTTTTGTCTGGTGAAAAAAAATTCCCTGGACACTAACCCCCTCATTTACATTAATTCTTATGGGGAAATTGGATTCGCTTAACATCGTTTCACTTAAAGTCGCATTTTTCAGGAACATAACTGCAACGTTAAGTGAGGAGTTACTGTACTGCTAATGATATTGGTTGCTTCAGTATGCAAGGGAGTGTCTCTCTATTAGGTGTACACTCTTCTCTTTTCATTGCTCAGAGAGTCCTAGGAAGTGTTGATTCTGGGAGATTTCAGTTGCTCCCTCAGTGACAACTGTTCTTTTTTTTTTTTCTTTTTAAAGTTGCCTAAAACGTTGAGAACTCTGCTGTCCAGGTGCTTTACCCAGTTAGTTACAGAAAGTGCACGCAAGGCAGTCCCCTGTTGGAGCTAGTCTTTGGAACAGATCTGAATTTAGGGGTTTCTCTGTCTCCTGTAAATCAGGCTATCCTCATTGCCTTCAAAGCCTTCAGACTTTCCTTGAAGACTTAAAAAGAATCTTCAGAAATCAGTCTTGTCTAATCAGGGACTGCACACACTAAAATGTATTCAGTGTGGTTACTGCATGATGTCAGTACCAACCAGAGTTAAAGTTGTGTCTGTGACCTAACTGTATGTTTCCATACCTCAGCATGTTTAGATTTCTTTTAAGTTTAACCTTAATTCTGAATTTCCTAGGTTTATATCGCTTGGTTTGCGATAATGACAGCATCCCTATAATGTATTTGCCCCTAACTTACTTAAATGTGTTCTCAACTGTAACTCCATTTTAACATAGCTTTTGTCTGGGAACAGCAAATATTTAAAGACAAAGCTTGTATGTATCTACAGGCTTGATCCCACAGACTGCTCCTTTAAGAACATAAGAAGGGCCATACTGGGTCAGACCAAAGGTCCATCTAGCCAACAGTGGCCAATGCCAGGTGCCCCAGAGGGAATGAACAGAACAGGTAATCATCAAGTGATCCATCCCCTGTTGCCCATTCCCAGCTTCTGGCAAACAGAGGCTAGGGATACCATCCCTGTTCATCCTGGCTAATAGCCATTGATGGACCTATCCTCCATGAACTTATCTAGTTCTTTTTAGAACCCTGTTATAGTCTTGGCCTCCACAACATCCTTTTGCAAGGAGTTCCAGAGGTTGACTGCATTGTGTGAAAAAATGCTTCCTTTGTTTATTTTAAATCCAATGCCTATTAATTTCCTTTGGTGACCCCTAGTTCTTGTATTATGAGAAGGAGTAAATAATACTTCCTTATTTACTTTCTCCACACCAGTCATGATTTTATAGACCTCTATCATAACCCCCCTTAGTCGTCTCTTTTCCAAGCTGAAAAGTCCCAGTCTTATTAATCTCTCCTCATATGGCAGCCGTTACATACCCCTAATAATTTACTTTCTCCATTCTGAAAACTGACCATTTATTCCTACCCTTTGTTTCCTATCTTTTAACCAGTTACCAATCCATGAGAGGACTTTCCTCTTATCCCACAACAGCTTACTTTGCTTAAGAGCCTTTGGTGAGGGACCTTGTCAAAGGCTTTTGGAAAATCTAAGTACACTATATCCACTGGATCCCCCTTGTCCACATGCTTGTTGACCCCCCCCGCCCCACACACACACACACAAAGAAGTGTAGTAGATTGATGAGGCATGATTTCCCTTTACAAAAACCATGTTGACTCTTCCCCAACAAATTATGTTCATTTATGTGTCTGACGATTTTGTTCTTTAGCAGGCTTCCTGCTTCTGATGTACTTAACATTTTTTTGCTATTACTTTTTGAAGTTCTTCAAATTCTTTTTTGGCCTTCCTAATTATATTTTTACACTTCATTTGCCAGAGTTTATGCTCCTTTCTATTTTTCTCACTAGGATTTAACTTCCACTTTTTAAAGGATGCCTTTTTGCCTCTCACTGCTCCTTTTACTTTGTTGTTTAGCCACAGTGGCACTTTTTTGGTTCTTTTACTATGTTTTTTTAATTTGGGGAATACATTTAAGTTGAGCCTCTATTATGGTGTCTCTTAAAAGTTTCCATGCAGCTTGCAGGGATTTCACTTTTTGCGCTGTACCTTTTAATTTCAGTAAGTATTGTTTGTTAGACGTGTGGTGAAATATAGATGTTTCCAAGATCTTAGGATTTCTTTTGCTCCTATTCATTGCTTCATTTGGGCATGTACCTCATCTTAGATGATCTTGTCAATTTATCCCCTCCTCTCGGCCTGTGTTGCCAGCCTAATACACCGTTTTACCCCACTCCCACAGTTGACTATGTGATTTCTTACATCAACTGCTAAACATGGACCTCCACCTCTGAGTTGATCTTTCCCTTAGGATTCAGTTCTGCTGCAACACCGACAAGAAATTTGATAAACAATGGCTAGAAGAGGGGCAGCTGGGACAGTCCTTAGTACTTTGTCCTCTGCTACACACATGCATATGTATAATTGTGCTCAAGTCTTCATTAAAGTGAGCTTTGTGGAATGATCTGCCTTCTGCTTATCACCCAGGCACTACGTTCAACCAGTTAGCTGATCCAAAATGGACACCCAGATCTTGTCTCTCCAGTAGTCCGGTCCTTCTCTAATTAATCTACATCCTGCCTTTGAGAGATAAGGCTATGTCTACACTACAGCTTATGTTGGCGTAACTCATGTCGCTCAGGGTTGTGAATAAACCACCCTCTGTGCAACATAAATTACATCAACCTGAGCGCTTGTGTGGACAGTGGTATGTCAGTGGGAGAGCTTCTCCCACCGACATAGCTTCTGCCCTTCATGGAGGTGGTTTTATTATGCCGACAGTAGAGCTCTCTTCTATCGGCATATAGAGTCTTCATCAGATGTGCTGCAGCAGTGCAGCTGCGCCGCTGCAGTGCTGTACGTGTAGCTATGCCCTTAGATGACAGTAGCAGATGCAGAGAGAAGAAGGGGACGTTAATGTTCCTCTGTGGCAGGTACATTCTGCCGTTTTTGCCACCTGGGTGAGAGGGCAGTGGGGGAAAGGATGGAGCTCTTTCTCGTCTTGTCACACATCTCTTCAAAGGCTCTGTGGAGGAACTCTCTAAAGTAAGGATAGAGGGGTTCAGAGGGTTTCTGTCCCCACTTACGATGGTGCATGTTCTGGTCTAAACCTTTACCTTGATT